GATGGATGGATCATGGTGTGGCCCAGGTGCCCTGTGCTGTGGGTCTCAGCCCCCCAGGCTCCATGGGGCATGGCAGGGACACACTGCGCTGTGGGTATTCTCTGCCCCACAGGGCCCATAGGTGATGGATCAGGGTGTGCTCGGGCCCCTGCGCTGTGGTTGTTGTCCGCCCCCCCCCCCCCCCCTCCTGCCCCCTTGAAGCCCAGCCTAAGCGGGGGGGGGGTCATTACCTCGGACCGTGCGCCAGAAGATGCGGCTGGGGGCGCGGAAGTGGTAGGGCCCACGGGACGGGTTGGTGTTCATGCGTTTGCGGAGGAAGGCCAGGTACTTCACTGGAACGAGAGCGGGGCGGAGTCAGCCATTCTTCCAGACGCCTGGGTCCCAGGGCCAGCTCTGCCACCGAGTTCACGGGAGGACGCCCCCTCCCTGGGCCTCGGTTTCCCCTCCCACCCTCACGGTAGAGAGCTCGTGAGCCAGTCAGGACAGGGCCTGTCTCTGCAGCGCTCGGTACCATAGGGAGGTCCCGCACCCCAAGTGCTGGGAGAGGGGGGGGGAGATCTGTACAGCTCCCGACACTACCATAACACTGTGGGGCACTGCCCCGTTCCCGGGGACAGCTCTCTGCCTGCAACAGACAACGTGGAGGAGGAGCTGGTGGTAGGCAGCCCAATACCCAAGCTGCAAGGGAAAAGGTGGATCAGAAAAGGACCCAGGAGTCCTGGTTCCCAGCTCCCCCTGCTTTAACCCCCCCACGCTGGGAGAGAACCCAGGCGTCCTGGCTCCCGGCCCCGGCGGAGGCACTCACGTTTGTTGCGGTAGAAGTTCCCGGAGATGTTGATGCCCTCGCATCTCACCACCACCACCTTGCGCCCTGGGAGGAAGCCAAAGCGGGACGTTAACGAGGCCCCACGGCCAGCAGGGAGCCCGGGCTCAGCGACTCGGGGGGGTCCTGGCCACGCGGGCCCAATGCTGCCGAGCTCCGGACGCGCTGCCGGGGGTCAGCGGCTGAGCTGGGGTCTTGCCACGCAAGCGATGAGCCCACCGCCATGGACTCAGGCCGGGGGTAGGAGAGGCAGAGGAGACTGGAGCGTTTAATAGGAGGGTCAGGAGACCCACCCTTAGCAAACGGCACGGATCTAGAGAACCCAGGAGTTCTGGCTCCCAACCCCCTGCTCTATCCTGCTAGACCCCGCTCCCCTCCCAGAGCCAGGGAGAGAACCCAGGAGTCCTGCCTCCCCCAGCTATACCCCGCTCCCCTCCCAAAGCCGGGGAGAGAACCCAGGCGTCCTGGCCCTCGGGGAGCAGTCTCAGATGGTAGTGCATGGATGGGGTGTTCTCATGGTCGTGAGACTCGAACACCGAGAGCATCATCACAGACCCGCTCCACCGGAGCAGGACCCAGGCGGGGGGAGGGGTTACCAGGCTTGGGGGGCACCACCCCGGCAACACTCACCCAGCAGGACCTGCTTGGCCACCATGGCCGCCAGGCGCCCCAAAAGGTGGCCGCGTCCATCGATGACCAGAACCTGGGGGGAAGGGGGACAGGGGTGAGTGGGGGGGAAGGTCATTGGTTTGGGGGGTCCCAGCTCCTGCCTCATAGGGTGACCAGGGGGTGCTCGTGCTGGGGAAGCACTGGCCAGCTCTGGGGTGCCCCCACTTGGGGGGGGCTGGCACCCGTCCCCCAGTGCCAATAGGATCCCACTGGGGGGCTCCATATACCACTACAGGGGTCTTGCTTCCCACACAGAGGAGGTTCCACTTAAGCCCCCCCCTTCCTTCTGCCCAACCCGATCTTCTCGTCCCGGCCCCATGGCCCCTCCCCCAATCCCCTCAGCACCCCACGTTTCAGCCCCCAGCCCAATCTTCTCTCCGCCCCATGGCCCTCCCCCCCCAGAGCTCCCTTGCCCCTCCTCCCACCCCATACACCCCCCTGCCCCATGGCCCACCCCCCAGCTCCCCTTCCCCCCCATACACCCCCCTCCTCCTCCTCCCACCCCATACAGCCCCCATGGCCCTCCCCCCCACAGCTCCCCTGCCCCTCTTC